TATTGTGTAAGTCTATTGAGTCCCAACTCCCAAGCAAAAAATTGTGAAATTAAATTTCACACTCAAAAGCAAATTGGTAAAAGTCACGCGATCTATATCTTCACTATAGTGAAGATATGGAAAATATATATCGCACCGAGTATTTTTCAGTATCTCACTCTCTATACTATATAATAAATATATATTTATTATATAAAGTACAATGCTTTATAGGGATTTCGAGCACTGATAAAAGTGATAATCTCACAATCTCTCGCTTTTCAATTATCGCTTTTCTGTAAAAATTATCGCTTTTCAAAGTGCGCTCACTCGTGAGATATCATGTTCAACACGAGAAATAAATCTGGTATGTCCAAGCACCCATTCTAAGCACCCATGTATTATTCTCTATATAAAATATACGACACTGCCTCCTCCGCAGCAGTATACGCGATGTCGATGATTAATCATGAGATGCTCAAGCTCGACACTGAAAACTTAGCATACCTGACATTCGAACTCCTTAAATGTTAGTCATTATTATCACGCATTTTTCATATGAATAAACGTCTATATTTGGGTAATGTTTGCCTGTATGACTATAAATCAAGGCAGAACCTTCTGGCGAATGTTTTCCGGGACATAAACTATTAGCAAGAGTATATAAAACTTGGAAAACGAAGATTCGATGCTTTCGATATGGGTATAGGAAACGACCAAGCTTGATTATCGTGACCAATAATAATTCATAAACCTTGACGAATCATATGGTCAATATGTGGCACATTTACTAATTTGTGGCGACAGTGTGGTCATGCATGCAGTATAGCGTGTTGAGCAGACATGGAAATCGGTCCATCGCGTACTTGGATCTTGCCAACTGACAAGGATTTCAGTGAAACAGGTATGATATATACTGTTAATAAGTCCTTATGTGTTATGGGACATAAACAGATGGATATAAGCGTCTTATGGGTACCACTGCAGATATGATACCGGGCTAAGGTCTGAGTATTTTTATAAAATGCATGCATTATGACAACAGTGTCTGCGATAAAGCTAAGCTTTTTTATTTCGACATTTGAGCTACATACTATATGTCATATAACTGACGGTAAGCGATTGCATTTCTAATTTGAGGTTTCGCTTCCGGTTTCAATCGGTTAAACTCGACCGAACCTCAACCTAACATCAACCTAACCGCGACTGAACCTCAATTTAACCTCAACCTAACCTCAACCTAACCTCAACCTAACCTCAACCTAACCTCAACCAAACATCAACTTAACCTCAACCTAACCTAACCTCAACCTAACCTCAACCTAACCTCAACCTAACCTCAACCTAACCGCGACCTAACCTCGACCTAACCGCGACCTAACCGCAACCGCACTGTTAGGTTATTTCTGGACAGTATTGGTGTTACACGATAAAGAAAATCTTATAAGGAATTATATTACTTAATATCTCTGAAATATTGAGTACACATCAATGAAATATGTGAATGTTGTGTAAAGTGCATCCAGCATATACACAGTTGTTGATCTTAAGTTACAGTACCACCAAGTAATATATCAAGTTCGCTTCTCGTTGTTTCTTTTACTTTAGCCAACTGCAACTAAAATCAAAACCTTACTTCAGCCATGCCTGAATTGGGGAGGGAGGGATGCATAGGGGTATACAAATCCGCCAAAATTTGAAGCAAAATCCGCCGATCCGACAATGGCCTTGTCTAAATGTGGATCCGCTAAAAGCTCTACTATGAAGACACAGCCCAGGATCCAAACTATAAATTGCGAGCAAAATCCGCAATCTGAGCCAAAAAAATTAGATAAATCCGCAATCCGCTGCATTAATAAGATCGTCAAATCCGAGTAAAATATTCGCCATATCCAAAATCCGAACATTTTTACCGGCGGAATCCGACGATCCGAAAACCTATTCACCCCGCCCCTGAATAGTTTAGTCAAATAAAACTAAACTGTAGTATATACTCATGCAACTATTCTAGAAATGCTAGAACTAAACTTTCACTTATTAATTAAACAACATTTAGCATCAATGTAAAAATGAAAACCAAATAAGAGTATTAAAATTATTTTTACTTTGTAAGAACTAAACCTAAACGAAACCTAAATATTTAAGACCGGGGATAAACCGAACGATTATGCAGAACATTTTGGTCAGCAAAAGCATGCTTCATGTATGCCTAAGGCTTTTTCTAAACGGCCAGTTTTCCATTTCAACAGTTCAACCGTACCGTACCAAAATGTATTGGTAAGCATGCGTAGATTCAAATGAGGATGATAAATCCAGGTACTTCCGTGTGTATTCGCGTATCAAAATGAAAAGTTTGTCGCAAGTCAACTTGTTGGCGTACTACGGAAGTATTAATCCGTCAACATTAACTAAATTTTGAAATTTAAAAGTGTTTATGATACATTTCGGTGTAAGGTATGCTTGAGGTGGAAACTGCATGGCTTAAAACTTTCTGAAAATGAAATACTTTAAGGTAGAATTGACTGAACTATTATATACTAATTGATTTTTTTTTAAATGAACTAAAACTAAACTAAGACTAAACTGCGATTCATATTTCAAACTGGGATTGAACTCAAATTAAAATGGTTTTTTTTTTCAAACTGGAAACAAACTAAAACTTTTCTTTCAAACCAGAACTAAATTAGAACTAAAATGAGATTCTTGTTTCGGGAAAATAAAACTGAATTAAACTATGGATAGTTAATTAATTAAAATAAGTTATGTTCAGGATCCATGCCGTAAAACTAAAATGAGAGTCTTGTTCGAAACTGCAGTTGAACTAAAGCTAAAATCATTATGGATTTTTTATTTCACACTAGAACTAAACTGAAACTAAATTAAGATTTTGTTTTAATTAAACTAGAATAGAACTAAAACGAAACTTAATTTTTTCGTTTTAAACTATTATAAAGAAACTGAAACTAAAACGAAATTCTTGTTTCAAATTAGAACTAAATTCTTGTTTCAAAAAGAACCAAAACTAAATTTTCAATGATTTTTTTATTGAAATTCAATCTCGAACTAAAATAATACTAAAATAAGATTCTTGTTTCAAACTAGAACTAAGCCAAAACTAAATCTTCAATGATTTTTTGCTTGAAATTCAAACTCAAAATAAACTAAATCTAAAATAAGATTCTTGTTTCAAAATTATTCTAGGACCTAAACAAAAAAGAATTAGTATTTTACATTTTTAAAACTAAACTAAATTACCATGCTAAAACCACATATACATGCTGACATCATTCCCAAGACGTTTTTGAAGCAGGTTCCGCCTGCTCCTTACAGTTTACCAGGAGTTTCCTGTGTAGTGGTGGTGCTGGATCTGTAGTATCGACGTGTATATATATGTTATTTACCGGCTGCGAGGTCCGGATGAGAAAAACTGTGCCCGAGGCCCGAGCCCGAAGGGCGAGGGACGTTTTCAAGACCGAAGGCGCAGTTTTTCTCATCCGGACCGACGCTGCCCGTAAATAACGTGTTTATTTTTTATCAGATGGAAAAATTAAATTCATTAAAGTTCCAGTGTTGCTTACGAACTAATTTGAGATCAGTGCAGTTGTTTATTTTGAAAGCGAGGCTGACAAAAATTGAAAAGTTGAAACTTGAAAAATATAAAACAAGAATACGAAAACTCCAGAAAACTGGCAAGAAACACACAAAAAGACGTGTAGTTTCAGTAACAATTTACATGCTTTTTTCATAAATGTGGTAGCAGAAAAGCTTTGGAATATAAAAAGTTGTAAGCCAGGCGTTTTGGCTTTGACAATTTCAGTTGCTTCTGACAACGACAGGTTCATGTTCAGATCCGACTCAAAAACACATAAAAATGAATCTGCTTTGATTTAATCAAAATTTTTCAAATAAAAGGACAATGAAAAAGGTATGTTATTTTTATATTTTTGTATTTTCTCTGGTCGTTTCACGATAATATGCTTGAAAAAAAGTGTTTTTTTACACAGACTTTTACGTTGTTTACAATATTTATATCAGTGAAAAATGCCTGCCACAAATGGTAGAGAATATATTCGTAACTTGTTTTCACTGCTGCAGTTAAACCTTTTTTAAATGGGAAAATATTTATTTTACAATATTTGTTTAAGCTGTAATTTTTTCTCTTCTAAGTGGCCGTTTGGCCGAATACATGAGCATTTAAAAAATATATAGTTTTCTCGACGTAAGTTTTGTACATGTCAAATAACTTTCCGACTTTCAGTCGCATTTTTATCAAAATATTGTTAATTCTGGTGAACATCGTGCTCAGTATGAAGTCTTTAGGGCTTCATGCAATTCATTTTCGTATTCTGACTATCGTTAGGCTAGGTTTTTCAAACGTTTTTGGCAGATTTTTTCGTTTAAAAATTGTTTCACTCCTCGGTTTTTGGCGCGAAAACCAGAGCGGGCAGTTGAATTTCACAGCGGGCAGTTGCGTTTCAGCGCGGGCCGGATGCAAAAAATCGGCCCGCTCTGAAAGGCTCCTCAGATTGCTTCATTTTGACTGATAAAAAATAATGATTCTTAACAATTTAGCAAATGCATTTCGAAATCTCCTACATCTTAAAGCATAGCAGAAAAAGTTAATGCTAGAATTCATCAAAATGAACAAGATACTGAAGTCTTCAAGACAGTGAAGTGTGATACAACTGCAATCTTCACAGAAGTTTACGAAGTACAACATTATAGTCGAGGGTCCACAGCAGCACAACAGAGCTATGAGAACGATTAGAAACATTATAGTAATCTTATCTTCAAGCAATTGTCTGGTGTTACTGCATGTAGTTGTAACATTTGAGGGACGTGTGTTAATGTGGTCAATGAGCGTTGAAGTGACACTGAATAATCCGTTCACATATCGAGCTTCCGTTCGCGTTGGCACTGTGACTAGTTGTTTGAGCCCGAGTTGATGTATACGTTTCAAGAAGACGATAGATTTCGATTTTTGACATAGAACATTCATATTAAAATCCTCAAGAACATAGCTAGCATTCCTTACTTTCTGATGCTACTCTCTCCATAATTTCTGTCAAGCAGTAGTCATGAGAACTGTCTGCCGATGGTGGTCTGTAAACGTTGAGTAATAAGATTGGTGATACATAATGGAGTTTGATCTCAATACACGTAGATTCAATATGGGTAAACGGCACGTCGTTATGGATGTAAGTGATGATTCCTCCAACGGAAGTGTTCGATCTATCGAGTCGAATAAACGTATAATTTGGGATGTAGAGCATGTCGTCCGGCCAAGAGTCATTGAGCCACGTTTCAGAGAATGAAATGACGTGAATGGTATGCTTCCGAATTAAGAGTGCTTTTATTTTATCCAATTGATTTGCACGTTTAATACTTCGGATGTTTAGGTGGCCAATTATCAATCCTTTGGTTTTCTTAAGAAGATCAAAACAACCGTTTTCGTGAGGTTGGTTTGTTGGTCCAGGGTTCAATTCAATGTCGTGCATTAATTGTATTGTAGGCCTGAATAATGCGGTGGAATTGTAGTAAAAGTTAGTGGGTGGTTGGGCCCTTTTGATCTTGATAGTAGAATTTATTGTGGTTTGATACTTTATCTGTGTTGGAAGGTTATCGTACCGTGGTTTGATCAAGCGTAGATCTTGTAGATGGTTTAGGGATACTGGCTTCGTAGATATCCAAATGATAAGAGAACATGCAAGTTGGCACATTACCAATTTAATCAAAGATTTGCGATTGATTAGAACCATTTTACAATTTATAATTGAATAAATTCAGTCGTTAATTGTGTTCTAAAAGTATTTAAGCTCTGTGATGGCGTGCGGAAGTTCGTTATAGGAATACAAACAGCGTCAGCAAACTATGCCGTGACCACACGCCCGTCTGATATTTCAACGGCTTCTTTGTCCTTCAGATAAACAAAAGTTTCAATTATCCAAACAATTTCCCACTGATACTTTCCAAAACAAACTGAATTTCAACGAACAGATATAAGTTGTCCAAAGAACAAGTCTTTATCCACCAAAATTTATGCAATTTCTTCTCAAGTCAAACGTATTTAACAACTAAAATTCATAATTTTTGGAGAGCTTTTTCACGTACGTGCGAGCGTGCGCACGCGATCGTGCGGTCACTAAACAGACTGGTTCAGAGCAAACTACGTATGTATTGTTGTTTGAAGCTACAGTGTTTATATCTGTAATCACGTTTATTTAATACGAACGATTGAACGATTGTATTTTCTCGCACGTTTTCTTAGAGCCCATTTTTCCAAACAAATAGGTCTGAATCCCGAGTGTAGAGTGATACAGCACGGCGGCTGTGGCACATCTTCGAAAACCAAGTTATCCTTCAGAACTTCCCCACAAGATTCCATCTCTTGACAGCACCAAGCTTCGTGTGTATATTGTATATGTATTATCACACAATCGCCACATTTACACTTGTGAAATGTGATACAGGTGAGGGAAGTGTGGTTTGAGTGGTTTGATGTGACTGATGCCGTATCAAAAATATATCAGATACTTATTTTACGTTAAAATGTTACATAAATCTATGTTTACGCTCACCATGATTTAATTTCTTCAAGGCCATCTAATCTTCGTTGTGGCATCTCGTTTTGTTCCTAGTGTTAAATTCCGCATAGCGTAGCATTCTTGGCTCGCTGGCGGTTCACCGGCATAAAGGCATGCATCATAATCGCCTAACATTTCGCTATCAACTGCTTCTAGAGTTCCAATTTCGTGACTGGTATCATTTGATTCATCCTCTATAATATATCCAGGAATATAATTGTATTCTGAGTCACATATTGAGAACCATGAGTGCTGGAAAACATACAAAATATAAAGAAATATATTATGCCCGTCGTGATTAAGTTCCTTAAGCTACCTCACACCAGGCTCATCCCAGACTCTTGTTGATACGCGACAATTTTACGAAAATCGCTGTTTAGAGCCTTATATCTCGTGAATGAAAAGAGAAAACGAGATCCCGGCACGACTGCTCAGGGAAACAGCAGAAGTAATCACGCCATCGCTGTGTCACTTGTTTAATAAATCACTTAGTACCGGCTCTATACCCCGCGAGTGGAAATTGGCTAATATAGTACCAGTATATACAAACGGAGAGCGTGAATACACCGAAAATTATCGACCAATCTCATTGTTGCCAATAACATCAAAGGTTCTGGAACGTTGCGTTTTAAATAATGTGAAAGATTGGCTTTACGGCCTAGTTAATGAATGTCAGCATGGATTTCTTATCGGAAAATCCTGTGTTACGAACCTTATCGAAGCTTTAGATTACATTGGATCTGTCCTGGATAAAGGTGAACAAATTGACACCATCTACCTCGACATGCCAAAGGTTTTTGATAAGGTTGATCATGGACTGCTTATAACCAAATTGCGTGTGATGGGAGTGTAAGTAGGTGGTCGACAGGCTCGGGATTACAGTTTAATGGGGAAAAATGTCACGTACAGTCTATAACTCGCAAAAAAAGTCCAGTTATCTCTACCTATACAATAAATGGGGTGCCACTTAAATCGACGCGGTGCGAGCGGGATCTTGGTGTTCGCGTTTCTTCAGACCTCATATGGAAGGAGCAGGTTATGGGACAAGCTGCGCGTGCAATGAAACTTCTTGGTTATATTCGAAGAAACACGCGTAGTATCAACAGTACATCAATTAGGAAATCAATGTACCTTGCGTTGGTTCGCCCACACATTGGCTTTGCTACGCAAATCTGGGCACCTCAATTCATCGACCTCATATTAAAACTCGAACGAATCCAGCGAAGGGTCTCAAGATATATTTTAAACCTACCATTCAGCAGCTGTGAAGATTATAGTTCAAGGCTACAGTCACTGAATCTCTTGCCTATATGCTACTGGCAAGAATATTTAGACCTTGTATTTTTTTACAAATCAACCCACGGCCTGGTGAACTTGAATCAATCTGTTTTACCTCATCTCCGTAGTACCAGGTGCACGCGATCAACGAACACTGATATCGTAAAATATGATGTTCCCAAATTTAAAACTACTACATATCAACACTCGTATACCATCAGAGTCACTCGCATATGGAACCTTCTAGCTAAAGATATAAGAACAAGCACCTCTAGCGATAGTGTGAGCGTTTTTAAATCATTTTTATTAACTTACTATTTCACTGCTTTAAAGAATACTTTTAATATAGAGGATCCTAGAACTTTTAAAACTATTTGTTGCAAATGCAACACAGCTCGTAGTCTCCGAAGGGAGGTTGTCTGCTGTTTTTAACTAGATATTTCTATACTCATACTTAATTAATCTTATAATAATGCATATATACCATATAGTTATAGTGATACCTATATGTAATATTATTGGGACCGCTGTAATTGACCCCAAGCTGTTGCGGTTGCCCTACCATATTTGGTAAAGCTTTTAAATAAATAAATAAATAAATAAATAAATAAAAACCGAAAAATGTTAAAGAAGCTATTAACTAACTTTTTGGACGCTACTAAAAAAAAAAAAAACTTTTTGTGACATATAAGCACTTTAAAAAACCCTGTAATTTTACAGTAAAGAGTACTGGCAGCTGGGACGCCAGAAAATGCACTGATTTTACAGAGACTGTTTTTTTAACCGAAGTCTGTATTTATACCGCACAAAGGCTGTAACTTATTTCTTTCAAAACACGGCTATTGCACCATAACTTGCAATTACCGCTATACTTACTGTAAAAGATTACGGTAAAACACAATGTCAAGGAACGGATTTCTTTTTAATTATTGAATACGGTCAATGTTACCGCAATTTACAACTACAGAATAATTACTGTAAAATATTACTGTCAAACACATGTCAAATAACAGATCTCGTTTGAAATACATTCATCCTTTATACTGTAATTTACGATTACAGTACACTTACTGTACAATATAGCAGTACATTATTCGGTAAAAACAGATATGTTTAACAGTGTGGAGCAGTGGCGTAGCCAGCCCGACGATTTTGTCCCGCTATATCCAAATTTCAACTCATTATTAATTTCTTTAGAAATTAATTGTGTTGATAATTTATAAACATGGCCCTATTTGCATAGCGGGACTGAATCTCACGGCTGGCTACGCCACTGGTGTGGAATATATTCATGAAACTATTCTAGAGATAAATGCTAGAACTTATAAACGTTCACTTATTAATTAAACAACATTTAGCATCAATGTCCAATGAAAACTAAACACGACTAAAATTACTTTTAATATACAGTATCTTGCACGAACTAAAACTAAACGAGAACTAAATCAATCATGCAGAACATTTTGGTCAACAAATAGCAGTCTTAATTAATTATGACCTTAGCAAGTTTTTCTTGTTTGCCTATAAAAGTTCTTCCAAAGCTTTTTGAAAATGAAATACTTGTTTCAAGTAAGAACTGATTGAACTATTATACTGAGATATTTTTCTTTTCAAATTACTGACGTTTCAAATTACTAAGTTCAAACTGGAACTGAAATGAAGTTAAAATGATTTCTTTTAAACGGGAACCGAACTAAAACTTTTCTTTCACATTAAACAATAGATGGTTAAAATAAGTTATTTTTAGGATACATGCTAAAACTAAAATGAGAGTCTTCTAAAATCATTATGAATTTTTCATTTCACACTACAACTAAACTGAAACTAAATTGAGATTTTTGTTTCAAATTAGAACGGAACTAAAACGAAATTTAATCTTTTCGTTTTAATTAAACTATTATAAAGAAACTGAAACTAAATTGAAATTCTTGTTTCCTACTAGAACTGAGCCAAAACTATATTCTGAATATTTTTTTAATTCAAATTCGAACTAATCTAAAACTAAAGTAAGATTCTTGTTTCAAACCAGAACTAAGCCAAAATTAAATTTCAATGATTTTTTTGTTGAAATTCTAAAATGAAGTTGCTGTTTCCAACTATAACTAAGCCAAAACTAAATTTTCAATATTTTTTTTTAAAAATTCAAATTTGAACTAAACTACAAAACCCTAATAAAAGTTTTGTTTCAAATTAAAACTAAGCCAAAACTAAATTTTCAATGATTTTTTGTTGAAATTCGAACTCGAACTAAACTAAACCTAAAACAAGATTCTTGTTTCAAGCTAGAACTAAACAAAGAAAAACAGTAATTTAAACTAAAACTAAACTAAATCCACCATGCTAAAATCACATTACTATCTATATATATTCAGTGTGTTAACTTTACTCAGTCACTACAACGCTCGTTCTGCATGGTTATTTTCATACGCCGTTTACAAGATTTCTTATTGACAGCATAATAAAATACATGCTGACATTTATTCCCAAGATGTTTTTCAAGCAGGATATCCGCCAGTTCTTTACAGTGGTGGTAATCAATTTCAACGTCTATTGATTCTTAACAATTTGGCAAACGCATTTCGAAATCTCCTACATCTTAAAGCATAGCAGAAAAAGTTAATGCTAGAATTCATCAAAATTAACAAGACACTGACGTCCTCAAGACAGTGAAGGGTGCTACAACTGCAATCTTCACAGAAGTTTACGAAGTATATCATTACAGTCGATGGTCCATAGGAGCACAACAGAGCTATGAGAACGATTAGAAACATTTTAGTGATCTTCTCTTCAAACAGTTGTCTAGTGTTACTACATATAGTTGTAACGTTTGAGGAACTTATGTTTGTGTTGGTAGTTGGAAACTGGTCGTGATCTTGCGACGGTAAGCTTTTTGCTTCAGCTGAAGTCGAGAGAGCAATTGTTTCGACCAGTTGTGTGTTTTGAGCAGCAGCATTTGGGGTGTTTACCTTTGTGATGACAGCTGAAAAACTTTGGGGTTGCAATGGTTTATTGCTTGCTTCTCCTGAAGTCGAAAGTGCAGCCCCATACCTCCCATTGAGAGATCTCGCTTTGCTGACTTTCTGCATCATCCGAGTGTATGTCATACAAATTATTATCACGCCCACTGCCATGAAGGTGTTAGAAAATATGAAAACGTATGTAAAAAAACCAACATTTAGATAAATGTTAGGTAAACTTAAGGATATCAACCAAATAATTACTATTGTTAAAACAATTCTCTTATTAGTCACTTTGTTACGATATGTGTATGGTTTCGTCACAGCAAGATATCTTTCAATTGCCAAACTCGTAAGACTAAGAACCGAAGCGGTGCAGGAGATGAAGTAAACCATGTTAATCAGGTTTATTTCTTCAGGGACATGATTCTTCTCCAAGCCTTCTTTGATATGAAAATGAACCTTAAGCGGCTGTACTATAACACCAACAATTAAATCTGCGGCTGCTAAATTTACCACTAACCAGTTGAAAGGAGTTCTTAAATTTTTGTTTGGATCAAGAACAACAGCCAAGATAACGAGGAGATTTCCAGGAATATTGGTGAGGATGAACACGATGGCCATACTGGCTGTCGTAAATGATAACTCAGTTGGAGGATCAATGATCCGACATCTTTTTTCAAATGTATTTTCCATAACCATTGTGTTAGTCCTACGAGAATACATGTTTAAAATGAAATGCATGTTTTGAGTTTAAATCGCCGAGCTACCTAATCCCACTCTGCTATTTACGCCCGGGAAAAGAACAGCAAGAGGATGTGGTGGGATAAAAATATATCCATTAAATTAAATTACATAAAACCGTTTTTTACTAAAGATTATTATATAATTACTCAGCACCAAATACTATGAAATCGTCATATTAACTCAATAGCTGATCAAATATTGAGTTCTGACATAATATTGAACGGTGTGACGTCATAGCGTTGATATGAAAAAATACCCTTATACTCAATAACAACTGCCGAAGGAGTGAGAAATTGTGTCACAACAAATGGCTTCCTCAGGGAAACTAGCCTAAAAACGTTGGCTTTTAAACTTCGGCTTCGCTGGACAACAAAACTGAGGCAGTGATAATTTTTTGTATATGCATAGATCAATGTAATTTTATATCATGCACTAATTTTTAGGGGGGAAAGTGCATAACATGATCTCTCACCTCGTAATTGTTGGAGAATATTATCTAGTCAAGACAAGGTGTGTGAAAGAAAGAAAATGTAAAGGACACAACCTGGAATGACTTCTGGTAAAACAAATTCAATGTATTCAATACCGTACATGCACAGTTTTGTATTTGATCTGACTACAATTAATCCTAATAACAAGTGATGTCAAGTGATGTTATTAGCAACGTGAGCTGTAAAGCCTAGTTTCCATTTGGTCGTTTGTTGTCGCTGGCACGACAAGCGGTAGATGTGAAATAGTCTAATATAATAATAGTGTGTTTGTGTGATATGCAAATCCGTCTTAATGATTTGTCTTAATGAGTTTTTTGTTGACACTCTATTTATTGTCGTGCCAGCGACAACTACCGACCAAATGGAAACTAGGCTTAAAGGGGCGAGATTCTCAAAAAAATTACAGTACATGTACACTTCCCCAACATAAACAAAATCTTTCGAAACATCTTGAAATCGTGCCTAAAATTTAAAATCCTAACTCACAGAAAAAAGAAGTTGTGTGGTTGAAACGTACGCATAAAACTGTTTATATAGCATTAAAGCAGTAGTTTTTGATTTTCCAAATATTTCCAGAACTGCAACCTGCAGTTAAAAAGGCGATTTGAACCTATAGTACATTGCTTTGCACCTACTTTTTATGTATTTTGTAGTGCGATTTCTGATTAAACTTAATTATCGTTCGCCATCAACAGTTTTCAGTTGTACGGTTATAGTTGCCGCGCTGTAATCGTGTCCAGAATTAACTTGTAAAGAGAAATCGTGCCAATTCAGGGCACGATTTCGAATTGATCGAGTCTCGTCTGAATGGCTATTATGTCGGATTATTCGATTACTTTTACCAAATAAGCAAGCATACAGAAACAATAATTGTTATATCACAACTTCCTTTAGTTATTAGAAATAAATTGAGTTGACTCACTTCTCAGTTCTTTAGCCTGTTCGATATGCAATCCAGTTGCGCATGCACTCTCTTTCAATAATTTGATTATTCTAAGACGGATACAATTGCAAAAGTCGTATTATTCTAAGACGAATACAAATCCGTGAAATGAAATAAATGATATTTGTGCGTGTAATGCCATACAGCTTCATAAAATAATATGACATTTGAAAAGTAAACAAAACTATTTTATTAATATTTTGTGTTCTATACTTACCGTATGAGAAATATATTTTTCAAATTTAGAAAATATTCAGTTCATATTATATAGTTTCCATAATTAAGAATATATAATTGCAAGAAAATATATGAATGAAATTACATGCCTTTTCCCTTACGATGAATAGAGTTGCAATTGCTAAGAAAACAACATAAATATACAAATTCCGTATTGTACGTACATGGGCAACAGAGGAAAATTCTTCCACGTTAGCAGCCAATCAAATTGCGTGATTCCCCCAAACAATTGTCTGTTATATAATAAAGGTCTTCTGATCCAAGTATATTTGCATTTCCCCGGCTTAGTTATATGCGTCAAAACAAATATTTATAGCTGCTATGCGACGGAATAACTACCGTTAAGCATGTTGATGCAGCTGTGCATACGGCGGTCAGTACATTTATATATATTACTGACTGAGCAAAAGGTTCGGACTGTAAGATATGTTAGTCAAGTTATTTTTTCGTTTGTATATGGACCTCATGCACCGACGGCTCGAATTAGCTAGGGCGAGACTCCAGACCAAACTCAATAAGTCTTTAATATATATTATGGCTAAAACACGAGTATTCTTCCAAGCACATTGTTCATATATTATATATAATTAAGTGGTTTACAACACTATTTGAACATTTAGGAACGCAATATTTTAAATTTGTGTGAACAATTTTTGAGGACTGAGATAATTAACGATAACAAAATATTTTCAGATATTAATATGTTAGAAATCGAAAACGGAGCAGTTTTTATTTCAGTTTCACTTTAGTTCGCTGAAAAAAAAACTTTTAATGGCGGCAAGTTTGAAGTACCACTCCGTCAGCATTTTAAGTGTGATGAAAAGCGTTTTTATACATGCAAACAACGTTTTAACACAGTGTGTAGTTGTAGTATGTTATTACTATTAAAACGTACCAAGGTCACATATTTATAGTTTTTTTACTGGGAGAAAGGGCTAGAGTTATTTAAGTTTTTCTTCGCGAGTGCATGGTCAATCTGTTTGGTCCATACTATGAGATCAGTGAGCGGTCCGTACTCAATGCCTTGCAGAAATTAATTAACGACAAAATGGCCACCTCTTGTACATTTGCATACAATCCATAGACAATGGCTTTCAACCATAGATATAGGAGACCTAGATTGCTGACTCGGCTCAACCGGCGTGACATATTTTGAAAATCCAAGATGGCGGCTCAACCGGGCAAAAATCACAGAGCGAGATAGGGAAAAACCATGTTTTTTGCATTTTGCGTCGTCCTAAAGCTTCCGATCGCGTTCTATCACTTTATTTTGGAAAGAACTAACTAGTGTGAAGGTTTTGGATGAAAATTTGTACAATCAGTACAATTTTATACCATGGTTAATACAAATTACGATTCAACCGGGCAAGATTGGGCAGGCCTGCAGTTTCGCGCGGTTTTCGTCTTTAGTTTCTTCCTGTGTATTCCTTCAGTCTTTTACGAGTTTTTCCCAAGTAATATTATATATTTCTAACTATTCCAAAAGCTATTACTGTTTATTTTGTTCTTTCATTGTTATTTCGACCAAAATACAGTATTTTCATCTGAAAATTCTAGGGCTTCTATTCCATCTGGGTTTTTTTATCGAAAAGAATGCTTGAAAGTCGGCCAGAATCGTGTTCAGTGTATTACTACAAGACAGACGTGGGATGTTATTCGATTTTCCTTCCATAAGTAAGTCTATGAAACACATACACATCACATATTTGTACACTATAAGTCTATAACTTACATCATATAAACAGAATAGTAATAGAATAAAAAGAATTTGTTTTGTAAATACTGTAATGACAACGTCACAACAAATGTAGTTTTGAGTTTGGCAGCTACAATATAAAACTATTTACAGTTTTAATAAAAGAACATTAGACCAAAAAAGAACTTCTTGTTTTGATGTCTGTGTTAGGAGAGTCTCTTATATATGCATGTTGACAACAACTTTCCTTGTCCTGTTCAAAGTCAAAAATGTTTTAGTTTTGTTCACATCAGTGAACCAAAAATACATCTTTCCCTTTGCACTATTGGATTTCCTATAACCAATCCCAGCCTGCTAAAAAATGAAATGGGCAGATTCAATGCCAATTAAATATTCATTCTTGTGTGAGAAACACTTCACACCGGATGATTATACTTCACACCCGATGATTATATTAATCCATAGTGTTGCAAGGTGCCCTACTTTATTATTTTACTCTGTCTAACGCCAGACAATTTTACTCATCAAGAGGAGAGCAGTGGCACTTAATGGGTTAACTGGCCTACCTGCAAATGTGTATAGTTAACCCATTGAGTCGTTTTGTGCCCTGCTTAATTATTTTACTCTGGCTACGCCAGACAATTCTACTCGTAAGGGGAGAGTGCTGATGCTTGGGTCAGCTGTCTCAAGGGGAGAGTGTCCGAAGGGAAGAATGCCGACTGCAGAGAGCAATCAATAAAATGCCAATCCAAGAAATATCTAAACGAAGATGCCGTCCCATCTATTTTTGATTGTCAATGATGAATCAATCAGGTTTCTTGGAGAGAACTAGGTACTAACTGTGAAGGTTTTTGATGCATACCAGACACATTAGGCAGTTTCTTCAAACTAGTTTCCATTGAAAACTTTCGTTGTCACTAGTTCTCTCTACAAACCTGATTGATTCATCACTTTTCACTGTCCAGGCCCTATAGACTTGAGATCCCTTGACAGGCCCTTGACATCTGCAGCAGCAAGGAGGTTGTCAAAGTCACACTAAACAGAGCATCAGAATTTTCGCACCAGCAGACCAGATAAATCAAGTAAAATAGGCTTTAACTTCAAAATACTTCACAGAATTATTCCTTGTTAAATATCCCAACCGAGATCCTCGAGAAAAAAAGCACCCAAAGAACCAAAACCTTTATTTTCTGCAACAAAATGTCTCGAACTGCTCAACTGACCATTGTGACGATTTCAGAAAACATTTAGCGATCGATTATTTCGTCTTTATTAAACTTAAATTGCACAAATATTCATCCAAAACCTTCACACCAGTTAGTTCTTTCCAAAATAAAGTGATAGAACGGGATCGGAAGCTGTAGGACGACGGAAAATGCAAAAAACATGGTTTTTCCCTATCTCGCTCTATGATTTTTGCCCGGTTGAGCCGCCATTTTGAATGCTCATGAGTGTCACGCGCGTGCATTATAGAAAACATTAGAGTCAGCAATCTAGGTCTCCTATATCTATGCTTTCAACTTTAAATGGGGAATATAAAATTAAGGGCGAAAATATTTCTCTCGAAATTATGGCAATCTTGAGAGCT